GGCTTTAGAACTCGCATCAGAGAAGGTACAAAGCTCTGGCTCCCGCAGGGCTGGGAGCATCGCTGGTTCTCCAAGCAGGAGCTGCAGCCTGTGGAGATGAGCTGCCTGTTTCCAAGCAGGACTGAGGGAGCTCCAGGCATGGGGCTTCTCCAGCACTGTGGATCTTCCCCCACCTCCTGCTGCAGGCCCGGGTTTTGCATAGCAGCATGCTGAATATGCTCACATGGGTCTGTGTCTCATCTGCTGCCAGCCGAGCGGTACCCTTGGTGTGCTGTAGCATTTGCAAGTGAATTCATCAGTTCTGTCCTTTAAATGTTCCCACACAGCAGCTCCAAGCATAAATGAACCTCTAACTGCTTCTCTGCAGGAAGAACTGCTCCTATTGACCCAGCCCTGGCTAGAGCCCAGAGGATGCCAGGCCTCCCACCCTGCTGCTGGCTCTCTGAAGCCAGGCTGCTCCCCAAAGCGGGATCTTCCTGTTCTGGGGACAGTCAGCAGAGCCCAGGGCACGGGATGTGTGACATCCCAACCACTGCGTGTGGAAGAGTGGGCCTCAGCGTTGCCTGGGAGTCAAGGACCCTAGGGTGGGGAAGGCAGGAACTGGCCATGAAAGAAACAATTTAGGAGCCCAGGGCTGGCTGCGCAGGGGAGCTGGGTCCCTATGACTGTCCCATACTCACAGATTTGGTTTGTCATCCCTATGCAGGAGTGAGATGAAGCGCTGGATGATCTCACTGGCCCCGAACCGCAGAACCAAGTTTGTTTCATTTACATCCAGACTTGTTGGTAAGAGACACAGCATGGGAGGCACATCCTCTTCACCCCTACGCCAGGGCACCTTATTCTGCCTTCATCTCAATTTAACCCCAGGCTTGGGGCCTGTGCTGAAGCTGGACTGTCCCTGGCACCCCTTGTGTTCCCACCACCCACAGCCACTTGTCTGTGGGCCTGGCCCTGACCTTGCACCCCTCCAACCCAGGCTGGGCTGCACCAGCGCTCTCCCTCCCACCCAGGGTACTCAAGGGTGGCACTGAAGTGATGATACGCACCCAGCTCCTTTCCCCTCAGAGGTGCTTCCCTGGTCCCTGTGACTGGGGCACCCCTTGTCTTCCACGGGGTTTCTTACCACATCAGAGGGACCATTCACGGAGTTCATGGTCCTACAGCAGAATCCATCCCATTCCATCCCTCACTCTTGCCCTGTTCCTGGCAGACTGCCCACAGATCCAGTGTGTCCACCCGTACATGGCCCAGCAGCCAGATGAGCTGTCCTTGGAACTGGCTGATGTCCTCAACATCCTGGACAAGACAGATGATGGTATGAGGGACAGGATGGGGGCGTCTGCGGGAGGGTGGGCTTTGCCCTTGGCAGGCAGGAGGGGCCAGGCAGGGAGAGACCCATCATTGGCATCACAGCTGAGGAAGCTCAGAGCAGGAGGGGGGAGCTACTGCCTCCTTCTGACACTCAACAAATCCAGGTAGTGCTGGCACAGTCACCCTGGCACTGGCTGTCGGACATGGCAGGGCTGACACAGATGTAACCCAGACCTGTTCTTACCTTGATGCTTCACAGCCACCTGGTCCTGGTCCCTGGGGCACAATTGTAGCTGGTGGACTCAGTCACACTGGATGTATGCTGGGTACCACTCCTGCAGCACCAGGGGCAGCCAGGAGCACACAGTAGCAGCAGTGCCTGCTTTGTGCTGGCATCCCTTGAGCTAGCTGTCCACACAGTGCTGCTCAGGCAAGCGGGCTTCCTTGGCCAGATTGACAAACTGGGGTCACTCCAGCACAGGCCTCCGAGCAGCTTCCAGAAAGCACTGCCAGCTGTATAGGCTCTTCCCAGCACCACTGTCCCAGCATAGGAACAAGGACCACTCATTTATACCTGTCTCTGTCTCTGCTCAGGCTGGATATTTGGAGAGCGTCTTCACGACCAGGAGAGGGGCTGGTTCCCCAGTTCTATGGGGGAGGAGATCCTGAACCCCAAAATCCGAGCCCAGAATTTGAAGGAGTGTTTCCGGGTGCACAAGTCGGATGACAGCCAGCGGAGAAAACTGGGCAGCAGGAACCGCCAATGACCATTGGCATCCCCGAACATCTGCAGCACCTCTGGGAGAGGGGCAAAGGACAGAAGCACAACTGGGAGGATATGGTGATGGTGTGGTGGGCCATGGTGCAGGACCTGTTGTGCCAGAGCAGGCACATGCACCCATGAACAGAGAGACTGCAGGTCCTGGGCTCCCTGCAGCACTGATGCTTCCCTGGAGATCTGTGCTCTGAACTGGCTTGGATAACCCTTTCCCAGGCATTCTGTACAGCTGCAGAGAGCACAAGCCAAGCTGACACAGCCCAAAGGTGCCGGGTGGCTGATCCCCATTCCCTGCACACATGCTAGCTGGGGCTGGCTCAGGCTGCCTGGGAAAGGCACATGGCCACAAGCATAAAAAAGCATTAATGTTGCCCAGTTTGAGCACTTGCAGCTCATCATGACTTATAGTTTGGGTCGCTCCTAAAACACCATCTTACAGGGATAAAGCTGAAGCAGAAGAGCTGTCTCACCACCTCTACACAGCCCATCAGCACCGGGCTGGGACAAGCCCCAGTAACTCCAGCAGTCCTGCTTGTGGAGCCACTTGGGCCAATTCCCATGGGCAGACCCCCAATCTGCTTCAGTTAGATGCTCCACATCCAGCCCTGCTCCACCAGCAGCACAACCTCACCAGCCCTGACCCACACCTCTGCCTGCCAAATGGCCTCAGAGCACATCAAGGCCCTGCCCATGGCTCAGCCCCTCCACAGGGTCCTGGCACCACATCCTTTCCTGGTTGATCCGGCACTTGTGGTCTCTGTGGTCACTGCTACTTCTCTGCTGCAGAGGCACAGGGCAGGGTAGCCGTGCCAGCGCTTCCCTGCACACCACCATGGGAGCACCAGCAGCAGGCGAGTGACCTTACCCCAGGAGCTGCTGTCCCACACGCTGTGGGAGGCCCAGCGATTGCTGCCAGCATGCTTGTAACCCACGGCGCGCCGCTGCCTGCACAGGCAGAGCACACCATCTCCCTGTACAGCCACACCTCCATGTATATACATCAACCCCGTCGCCAGGCTGCGCAGAGCCAGGCAGCACTCCTTCCTTGCATGAAGCCCAGGGCATTGCACTGAGACCAACCAGGGGACGGACCCACGGCAGCCGCCTGTTGTTCAACAGCCTCGCTATGAACAGTCCCACACATGGCCACAGCAGCGGGCCCCTTGGGTACAGGCTGGTCCTGAGCTGCGGCCAGCATGCATCAGGGAAATGGATTGTTCGGCATCTTTCTGTGCCACTGCAAAGGAGTCTTGCAGGTGCCATGACCTGCAGTGCCCCACGCTCCTGCAGCGCCACGGCTGTGCTCCAGAAGGGGACGGAGAAGAGCTGCCTGCCAACAGAGCCATGCACAGAGCAGAGCCATGGGGATGGCAGCTTGGAAAAGCAGCAGGGACCAGGGAGTTGGCTCTGGCTGGGGCTGGTCTTTGGGCCACCCAGGACCAAGTTACGCATGGGGTGTGCAGCCAGAGCCAGGTGAGGGAGGGCTGGGGCTATCACCATGGTCCTGGGATGGGCAGCTCTGCACTGGGCGAGTGGCTGCAGCCCTGCTGGGACCAGAGCAGCAAAGGGAGAATGAAGGCATCCCTCCTCGTGCCCAGGTCAGTGGCACCAGGTCAGCAGTGACAGCAGGGCTGTGATTGCCTATAGCACCCCAGGGAGAGGGCCCCAGGCCCCCTGCTGATGCCCAGCCCAGAGGTGGGGACCAGGAAGGGGCCACAGCCTCTAACCTGGTGCACTGGGCTTATTTAATGGGGACCCCCCAAATTAGACATGCCCGCCCCCCTCCCCATTCCCCCCTAACAGCACCCTACAGTCAGCTTTTGAGTACAACCAAGGGTCCAGACCTTACAGCAGCCACAAATTCTCTAATGCAAAACCCAGAGGAGCTCCAGCTCCAGGAAATCCTTTAAATGACCTAAGAAGTTGCCACACAGCAGATGGTACAGCTCCACAGCCCAGCAGCCAGCACAGCCCAGGCACTGCTGCCCCAGTGCCTGCCTGGGGTGTTTCTCCTAACACAGAAATGCTCCCTTACCCATCAGAACAGCTATTTCACCAGTGGAGGGGCTGAGCCAGGTTTCCTGGTACTGGGATGCTGGTTCCTCACTGCATTTCTCCAGGAAACAAGGGCTCAGGGCTGCCATGCACCATGCCATGACCCACCACCAGACCCTGGGACTTGCTCTGCCCCCCTCTTACTCTGTTGTGACCTTTTAGGACCCCAAACCATAGGCACAGGCTGTGTGTTTTCAGGCACCGAGTGGCATCCAGTGTTACCTCCTCAGACCCAGCCCTGCACGCCTCCGTTTCCGTGGTCTCAAGTGTTGTACAGGGCCAGGCCTGGGGCCCACATGCACGGGCTGAAGCCCCCCCCGGCCCCGCTGGGCTGCCTCAGCGACCTGACAGGAACTTCTCGTTGTCTTGTTTTCCTGTGTGATGAAATGTACCTGAGCGAGCCAGCGCCAAAGCCACACGTGTGCGTCTCCTTCCTTCCCAGTCTCCTCCAGTGCAACTGGTGGGGGGCAATGGGCCCCAACACAGGGGGTGGGAGTGGGGCTGAATGTGAACATGGGGTCAGGTGAGGCAAGGGAAGTATGAGGGTGGTCTACACCAAATGAACAGCCCTTCCCAAGGACACCTGCACAAGGTGATGCCCAACACCGTTACCAACAACCAAGAGAGATGGTGCCAGCTCGGAGCCACTCACTCACTGCTGCAGGGACCCCCCGACTGCTGTGGTCAAGCCTGCCAGGTCTGTGTGCACCCCAAGGATCCACATGCCAAGAGCACAGCACACTAGGGCACCTCTGCTGCCCAGTGCAGAGGCTAGAGTGCCCTTTGCAACATCCATGGTAGCATGTCTCCCCAGGGAGCCCCAGGCAGATGGGCAGCAGGAGCAGCCAAGGGCTGGTGTGTTACAGAGAAACCTTTTATTGAGTTCAGGAGGCAGAGAACTTTCTCAGCGTGATGATGACCAAGGCCACAAGCACAGAGGTGCCCAGGAGGGAGGCGATGACAATGGCACCGATAGCTCCGGGTCCCAGTGACCCTGCAGAGACAGAGAACAAGATGGTGTGAGATCAGCATAGCCATTGGGTCCCAGGCGGGAAGGGCTAAAGGGGAATCAGCCTCACACCAGCATGTCCCTGGCCATGGGGTCACACTCCCAAGCCCCATGCACTGCCCATGATGGCCCTGTTCCCATGTCCCAGTGCAGCTGAGGCCCAATCCTGTGCCCCAGAGGCATTAAGCCCTTGGGCAGGTGGCTGGAGCCACCCACTGCTCCTTACCCAGTGACCAAGACGGCCATAACACAGCAGGTCTTTGGCACTCAGCTTTCCTGCTAATACTCACAGCAAGAGCCGCTTTGCTCAAAGCACATTACAACAGGCATTTGCTGTAGATCAGGAGACAGGGAAGGTGCTCACACTCCCTATTTAGAGAGTTTGAGGCATATTCTTGCCTATTCACCCCCCTCCCCAACAGTGGTCAGGCCACCTCAGGATTCTCAAACCCCTCTTGGGAGGCAACAGGACCATAAAGAGCAACTGCAGAGCGAGGACATCCTCTGGTGATCCCCAGAGCGCCCATGGTGCCACCATGTACCATTCCCAGCATCCAGCCGGTGCAGGTGAGTGGTGTCCTCAGGCTCCAGCTCAGACGTGTACACGGGGAAGGCTGTGGCATCCGAGAGCCGGGCTGTGGTGGTGTCCATGGGGCCAGCTCCAGAGGGCAGCTCGGGAGGCTCGTTCCAGAGGGTGGGTACCGGGCCCTGCAGGTGCTCTGCTGAGAAACAAGCGCCCATGGTCACCCTGCTGCGGATGCAGGGTGACCCGAGGGCTTAAGGAGGCTGCAGAAAACTAACAACCAGAGCAGCCAAAGGCAGTGCCTGTGCCCCAGGGTGCAACCCCTCTACCACAGGCTCTGGAAGCCTCCTGGTGTACACACAGCACACATGGGACAACAGGTTGCTCCCCGCAGCCTCTGCTCGTGCACCAGCATCCACAGCCAGTCTGTGGATGCCCATAGGACTGGGCTGACACATTCCTGCAACCTGGACACATGCTGGCCAAACCCACATCATGTCAGGGCCCTTCTGTGCTGCACCACCGGCCTGTGCAGTGCAGGGTGCCAGAGGTGCTGGCAGGGAGCAGGACACAGGACACAGCCTCCCCAGGCAGGAGCCCCACTTCCCTCTGCCCACCTCCATGCCATGCTGGGGAGATGAAAGCCAGGCCGGGCTCTGTTTGATGTTACCATTTACCTCCTGTTATTCCTTCCCCTGTGGGGTCAGGGACCAAAGCAGAGAGCCCTCCCTGTCTGTGTGTGGCTAAGCTGAATGCTCCCTGTCAATGCCTGGCTTGTTCAGGTGGGCCCCGGCAGGAACAGGAGAAATTCCACAGCTCCCTGCCGAAACCACTGGGAATGTTGCACTGGGATGGGGAAAAAAACTGGAGAGGAGGGAAACAAACAGCATCCAGCACCAGAGCCCATTTGAACTGACAGGGTGGGTATCAGGCTGTGAAAGGGCATCAGAGGAGTCAGAGCAAGCAGCCCGGGTTCTCTGGGGCACGGCACAGGGGTATGCTGGGCATCCCCGCTTCAGCATGGTGCCTCTTGGTGAACCAAGGGCACTCAAAGCCTTGTCTCAGGCTCTCCCTGGCCCCCAAGGAAGGTGGCACCAGCGCACCTTGGCAGCACCAGCCAGAGCTTTAAGAATGTGGAACCCTCCTTGCCTCCCGCTGGCAGCTGGCACCTTATGGGAGGAGAGTGAACTGAAGAATCGATGCTAAGGGTTCCACTACACTTGATTCTCCCATGGGAGCCCTTCATCAGAAGGAACAGGAACACCAGCACCAGAACACTCACCTTTGCTGCCAGGAGAAACCCACCAGTACAATTTACTGCAGGGCTTACATCAGAGCAGCTCCCACCATCCCCAAAGCTATCCCAAGCTGTCTGCAGACTCGGGAACATGACAGGGCTCCAGACTAGCTGTGGAAAGGCCTTTCTACAGCCATAAAAAAGTGGCAGGATTTTCAGTGAGACAGCTGCTAGGTTTAACCCTGGCCCAACAAGTGGTGAGAGACAAACAAGCCCCCAGTTTGAGACCTGTTCCTGGTCAGCATGCTGTGGCTGGCTGACCCAGCACGTGGCAGTAGCAGCGAGTACCATGTCCTCACGTGCTTGGTACATCTGTGGTCACTGTGTGCATCAGAGATGGCATCTTGGGTTCTTGCTACAAACACACAGAGACCTGTGCTCCATGAGGGCTCCCCAGCAAAACCCGAGCCCGTGGCAGGGCCCTTCTCAGCCTGTCCTGCAAAACTAATCAGATGCTGGAGACTCGCATCCCATCCAGAGGCTCTTCTAGAAGGTACCAATTTCCAGTGGACTTCACTTCTATAAATCCTGCGGTTTGGATACATCTGGAGTCCTGCATCCAGCTCACAGGCCCCCAGCACAAGAGAGACATAGAGCTGTTGGAGCAAATCCAGCAAAGGCTATGGAGATGCTGTGAGGGCTGGAGCAGCTCTGCTCTGGAGACAGGCTGAGAGCTGGGATTGTTCAGCCTGGAGAAGAGACCTTACAGCAGGTTCCATTGCCTAAAGGGACTACAAGAAACCTGGAGAGGGGCTTTGGACAAAGGCAGGTAGTAACAGAACAAGGGGAATGGCTTTAACCTGACAGAGGGAAGACTGAGATGAGACATTAGGAAGAAGTTTTTTCCTATAAGGGTAGTGAGATACCAAGCAGGTTGCCCAAGGAAGCTGGACAGGGCTTTAAGCAACCTAATCTAATGGAAGGTGTTCCTGGCCTGTAGCAAGATTTGAAACTGGATAATTTTTAAGGTCCCTTCCAACCCAAACCATTCTGTGATTCTGTGAAGTCTAGAACTGAGTAGGTAAATGTCCTTAAAACAACAGGGAAAGAAACCAAGCAGAGCTGGGGCTATTTAGTTCACAGCAGTGGCTTTAGGAAGCTGCTGGTTTAGGCACAAATCAAACGCATGTAATGCCTGTGAAGCCCTGGTTCCAGGCTGCTTTCACAAGCAGAGCAACTCCACACAGAAGATCCACCCTCCAGCTACAGCCTTCCTGACTGTGTCAACACCACCAAGGCCAGCACCAACACTGCAGCCGTTCCTAGCTGGCAAGAGAACACCATGCTGGGAGGATGTCCTTGCACTTCCCAAGAATGTTTTTCTCCCCAAAGCCAAGAGAGCTGAGTGAACCCTCACATTAACTGGGGGGAAATGTTAGCTCAGATCATCTATAACAGATGCAGGCACCATTCAGGGAGGCTGTAGGATGTGGACAGGGTCTTCCCAACTCCCCATTCTCAACTGGGCAAGGAGGGAACGCTACCCTTTCCAACCACAGTGCAAAGGCTCTCTCTCTAACCAGACCCACAGGTCCTGTAAAGTCTCCCTGTCCCCTGTGCATCCAATTTATTGCAGCTCTCTCTAAGCAGGGCACAGAGCTTATGTTTGATAGCTGAGTAAACAGTCTAATTTGTTTATGATCTCAGTGATTTTTAAGACCTGTACAGAGTCCTGGATGGCTTCTGGACATGTATTTTGCTAATTCCCCTCATCTGATTAAAACACGCTTTCAGTTCACCCACACAGAAAGGGCAGAGTGTGCTAAACATGCGTTTTCTGTCCCAAGTCCTTGTGGTTTTACCTTAACGGCACTTCAACCAAGGCAAACATAACTCCTTTCAGTCACTCTAGTGCCTCACTAACAGAGTTGTCAGCAGAAGCAGCAGAGTTGTGCACACACATAAAGTAAGATACTTGCATCTGAACATCAGCAAGAGCCAGGGCTTGCTGCTGGGTCTCCTCTTTAGTTCCTGCACCTCAATGCTACCTCCAGAGCAAGCTGCTGCAGACCAGGAGAGTCTGTTTGGAACCAGTGCTTTGCTTTCCAAGACTCACCTTTGATTTTCCCTCCTAAGTAACAGCTTGTGCCCTCACATTCCTCCCCATTTGAGAAGCCCAACCACCCATATCCAGCTATCCCCACACATCCAGTGGGCTTAATAACTGCAGGAGTCATGCCTCCACCCCTCTGCAGTCATCCCAGTGAGCATCAGTGATGCTGCTGCTGGCTGAGAGCAGCAGATGCACAACAGAGCAGTATTAAAAGCCACACTCTCATTTCAGTCCTCTGGTAAAAGCAAGAAAGGTGAGGGAGAAGCTCAGAGCTTATGTGTCAAAACCCAACACACTATTAGTAAGGTCTCAAACCTAAGACATGAGTGCCCTTCCAGTCACCTGCTGGATACAGTCTCAACAAGAGATTCAATTCTCTGCTCTGCTGCTGCTGTTCTGTGTGACCACTGCATGTCCCTCTCCCTCCTGGGCTGGGTTTCTCTGTGCATGAGCAGGAAACCAGGACTCTAAAGATGATCTATGAGAGAAGCAGCACCAGAGCAACCAGGCTTGGCCACCTGCAGTTGGTGACACCCTGATTGTGAAGAGGAGGACACAGTCTGTGCACCTGAACAAATACCTCCGAGTGACAGCTCCAGGCTCAGTGTCAGCCTTTCACTGGGAAAGGGCAAGTCACACCTGGCTTTGGGGCTGTGCGTAAAACCCCAAAGGCATTGCAATCTCAAGTGAGGGGGTGGAACCGAGAGCTGGCAACCAAATATCAAAGCAAGGTAGTGCATGGTGTCCCTGTTCAACCAAGAACTTTGTAGAAATAAAGAATTACCAGGAAACACGCTCAGAACATCATCACAAGACCAGTGATGGGTGACAGCCATGCATTAGCTGTGCTGGCATCAGTCTTAGGACCAGTCCTGTCTCTAGGAAAACCCAGTGGGTACACTCACACAGTCTGTTTACCCCAGAGCAACTCAGCAGGCACAGCAGGGCTACCAACACACATGGGTAACCAACCCCACCACCACTCCAAGAGCTTTGTGCCTTGGTGCTCTGAAGGGAGAGAAACCTTGACCCTGTGGCACGAAGCAGTTCTCCCTCAGCATTAACCCTGTATCAGCACTAAAGCACAGACTGAGGGCAGCTGCTGTTTCACTTGGTGAAACACACAGTTTGAGAGCACTCAAGAGAAAGACATGGAATAATCTTGGTTATTGGGGTTTTACTGGGCAGAGATGGAACCTGGAAAAAAAATGGACTAAAAGTATTCCAGTGGTTTAAAACAGGCCAGGTGGAGGGTGGCACCTCCTCCTTTCCATATGTTGACACTCCAAATGGCCTTATTTTAAGGAAATATCTATACCGCACCATGCCTTCTCCCTCTCTCCAGCACATGTTAGTTACAACTGAGTCCAGGAAAACGGAATATCAGGGTCTTACCCTTTAAAGAAATACACTGAGATTTGTGAATGACGAGGGACCCCAGCAGGACTTGAGCTACACGGGCTGTAGCCAGATCTAGACAGGACGATGCCAAATGCAACTTGATGAAACCATTATTTCCATGCTCAGGTAGAAGGTGGGTGAGCTGCCAGCAGTGTGACACAGTATCCAGCACTCCAGATAACTGATGGCTGAAAGAAGACTGGAAGAGTCTCCACCAGTGATATCTTTTGAGGAAGCTGATCAAATCTCAAGCATCCTTCAAGACACCAGACCCTCACCCACAGGCAGGCAGCAAGACCTCAAGGCAAAGCAGATGAGGCCACCTAACATCTTCATCCCTGGAGATCCCTCACCAGGACCAATACTGTTCCTCACAGAGGCTGGTTTCAGCACCTTCTCATCTTCACTCTCCACCTCCAACCCAGTGGTAACCTTAGCTGAGAGCTGGTACTAGTGTCAGTAAGTTTTAAGGAGTGGTGGTGCAGAGCAAGGTTGGGTAATGGTCTAAAAAGACTTGCAATAAGTCTAGACACACTGTTGCAACAACTGCATCTTTTTAAGACATGTGCCTGACAAAACCTATTTACAACTTACCACATTCTAGTAGTCGAACTTTAAAAACTCCCTAATAGACTTTTATTCTCCTGTTGTTGAGAATGAGGACACATGAGTTGCTATGTATGTTTTCCTTCAGCAAGTCTCCTGCTTTGCTTTTTTCCCTGTATGCATTCTGATGTGCTACTGCAGTACAATGTACAGCCACATCAGCTCAAAACAAGGTAATCCATAAGCCCACAGAATTTATATACTAAATATATACATGGTTCAGAAGGCAAGGCCTTGCAAAGGCTTTCTACTGACTTCCACTTGGAGCTCTGAATCCATCATGCGAATTGAAGCTGGCTTTGCTGAAAGCAAAAAATAAAAATCAGCTCTTCACAACCCTCCTCCACTCTAGGCCCATGTGTTACTTGGGTTTGGAGGCAGCAGAAGCAGAGAAGATTTAGGTGTGCAGAAAGTCCTTGAGCTGGCTGTTTCCTGTTGCACCTAGATGATGTGGACAAAGAGCATTAAAGACTCAGTCAGTTGTGTCCCCCCCATCTTTGACAAATGGGACATTTGAAAGAGCTCAGTAACTCTGAAGAGATACTCATACTTTCTTCAGTCACAGAGCACTGTCCAGGAAACCGGAATGGCCAGGCAAGAAGCCAGATCAAGGTACGCAACCCACCAGCACCCCAAAAGTTCTCCAACTGCCATATCCATATGGGAACCTCAACTGCCAGTGGAGAGCCTTCATGCCTTGCTGAACTGAGCACTTACACAAGGCTTCTGGTACCAGGTAGCTCCAAGACCCCACTGTGATAAAATTAAGCCCAATGAAGATGGGAAGACTCATTCCAGACGTGGGGTCTGCAAGGTTGGCATCAGCTACAGCTCTCTCCAAGGCAGATTCTGCTCCTGCCCCCCATGGAGGGCTTTGCCATGGAAGGCACAAGGTGCCGAGATGGGAGGGCAGAGGCTGGGTGAACCCTGAGGCCAGCAATGGGCTGTCCAGCCCCAGGTGGCTCCAGCGGGCACAGGGCCAGGGCAAGGATGAAAAGAGGCCTTCATGGGGAGCACAAAGGGCAGCCTGTGATGTGCGAAAGCCAGAGCTGGAGTGTGGAGCAGCGCAGAGCGCTGCGGTTCTGATGAATGTTAAATAAACTTGTTTACAGAAAGGCAGGGCTGCATGTGTACGCAGGAGAGCAGAGGGCTGTCTGCATGCCCTTTCCTTCTTTGTCTGCCCAAGGCAGGAAATTTCCTTTGCTAATGGGGTGAAAAGCAGAAAAAACTCCACTGTGCACTAAAAGCCCCATTTTGGGGGTAGGTAACTTCACTTCTAATGCAGCAGAAAATCATTGTGCTCCTGGGATGGCTTACTGTACATGCTGGTCCCTCATGTCCTGCTTTGAGGTAGTAGAGAACAAACTTCTTAAAGGCCTCAAGCCTCTAAAATGCCACAAAGGAAGCATGGAGACTCTCCTACACTCCAGGATCCAAATGCTGCATTCATCAGTACAAAGCTCTTCGAGAGCTACTGGCCTTGCTGCACACGTGTGACTCACCCAGAAAAGGAATGAAGTGAATGTGGAGTATTTCACAGGAGCAAAGTGACACGGAGAGGCAATGACAGCTACAGACCATGGCTGTGATGCTGAGCCGAGGGCGAATACATAGGAAAGCTGGCAAGGCCAGGGGCAGAGCAAATACATACCAAATACTGGAAACAAAACAGTGTAAAAGGAATCCTAGCTCAGGAAGGAAGCAGGTGAAGTTTTCATGGGAATGAATCACTTTCTGCAGTGAAGTACTGTTACCAGTTAAGACCTTACCTGGTTTTGGGGAGGAGCACTGACACTGCTTCTGGGAGCACAAGCAAGCTACAAACTGTGCTTCAGCAATTAACGTTCCACTATAAACCCCAAGCTTTTATGTCTGTAGACAGGAAAAGCATCACTTCCTAGTGCTCATTTCTTGGTTATTTTAAAGGTTTCCTAGCAAGAAGGCATCCTAGAAGGGAAGGATCTGTGGGGGATATCAGCCACAGTAATTCGGTTCATGTACCAAGCTAGGTGCAGTGATAAATTCCCCTAGTCACGTGAAAGCTCCTTTAATAAGAAACGGATGGCTGGTCAGGATCTCCCTGCTGGGCAAGATGCTCATAAATTGGGAGGGGACTGTGATCCAGCTTTGCTCCAGATCTTGGAAGGCAGGATGAGAATTCAGGAAAACAAGCACTGTGCTCTTGCCTATTTTCTTTGCCTGAGTGGTTCCTTCAGCCTCACCCCCACTTAAAGAAAGAGGCTTTGAGGGAAGCAGCTCCTCATGAGTTTCCGAAGGCAGGAGCAGATAAGGCTGGAATTACTAGTCATCTCCTTAAAAAACAGTGCCTTACAGAATCAGTGTCTCACCTATTCGTGTTTCCATCACCTCACTGGAGTCAGAGCCACATGCACCCTTCCCAGCACTGCCACCTGCCCCAGCACATCCAGCTCCAGACAAATTCCATTTAGATGCACACCTCAGCTTTCAACCAAGCTGAGTATTCATAGACACTTTCCCACTTCTACTTACAGCAGCAGTTGTGCTCTGCTGTAGCAGGAAGCATAGAAGGAACCAAAAACTGGCACATATGCTTTAGCCAGGGAAAAGCGTTCCTTTTCATCACTGTAGCTTCTTCCTGCCATTAGAAGCTAACAAACAAGCTATCCCATCAGCTGCTGAGAACTTTCCATCTACATGTCCTGATCTACTACTGCCACTAACGCTCACGTAGGTGCTACTGCTCTTCTGCTTAGGAAAAATTACAAATGATGTTCTCCCCAGCAGCAGCTTCGTCTCAGGGTGGTGAACACATTCTCACCACAAGTGATCCCAAAACTAGTTTCTGTTAATTATAACTCAATAAAACCAGATTTTTTTAGAGGAGGGAGAGGAGGTATGCAATAGAGGAGAGGCAGGCAGGTTAGTAAAAGACCACCCATGCTTTTGGGCTTGAAATGCAAACAAAGCTCCTTACCTGCCAGCACAGCAGGGACCAGGATGCCACACAGCATTAGCAGGACCAGGCGAAGGACTCTGTGGTAGGGCATGGCTTCCCTCGGGAAAAGCGTCACCAGAAATTCTTAAAACTCTTCGAGGTATGAAACAACTTGGGAATTTCACTGGTGCAATAAAATTTTGTCCAGCCAGGTTAAGAAAGATTTAAAAGATTAAAAAATAAAGAATTTACTTCACAACAGCAAGTGGATGGAGTGTGTGCAAACCCCAGCAGAGACTCACTCGCTCCGGCTTCTGGAGCACACCTCCTCCTGAAGGCAGCTCCACCCTCTAAGTTGTGCCTAAAACCCCATAGGCAGCCCAGCCATTAGGCATCAGTCACCCTGCCAGGCCAGTGCACACAGGAGCTGTTCTTGGCAAGTCCTTCTCAGTGGACACAGGGATGCTCCTGAAATGCCTTCCCTCTGGCCAGGCATCCCACGGCCAGACACAAGGAGCCATTGGGGGAGCTAACCCCAAAACCAAGCTGACCACTGGAGGGCTTTGCTCTCCTCTCAGTGTGCAGGGGTGGCAGTGGTCTTTCAAGGGTGGGTGCAGCAAAGAAACAAGGGCCTCAATCTTTTGAGACTAAAATGCTCTGAAATGGAGCCAGAGCAGCTCCATGGCATCCTTGTTTTCTGAGTGTATACTTACAGCGGTGGACTAGGAGCAGTGTGTGGTCTTCACAGGCAGAACTGCCTGTTAAAACCTGGTAAGTCTTCCAAGAGAGTTGCCCTTGTCCAAACCTCATGGACACCACCTCCTCCTGCAACCCTCTGCCACCCCATCCTTCCCCTCCAAGTAAGAACTTCATGGCAAAGAGAACTGAGGTTTGTTTCAAATCACATTTGCACCAAAAGAGGTTTGGGAAAGGATGAAGTGTATCAAAAGGGGAACGCTCTGGTTCATTGTCAGAAGAATTTTGTTAGGATTTTTTAAAGTTGATATGAAGATTAGATGCTTCATGGGTTCCTTCAGGAAAAGATGTAATAAAGTACGAAAATACCCTCAGTATCAGCTCTTTATGCTCTGAAAACATGAGTAGTTTTGTCTTAAATTTCAGATTCAGATGTTTCTGCTATGAGATCTCTGCTTTTTGGCTTAGACAGGCAGCCAGATACAGTTCAGGTGTCCTGTTAAATCATCCTGCTTGCTGCAGTTCTTTGCAGAAGTGCCTGGCTGTGAGAGGAAGCAGGAAAAACAGAGGACAGAGCACTGACCCTGCAGTGAAATGGTAAGTTAGGAAGGAACATGGTGAAACGTGATCAATACCAACATCAGATCTCTAGCATTACGTTCAACATTATCTGCCAAACTTGGATCAAAGCCCTGTTAGCTTTCCAGGTTCACACTCCATCTGAAAAGGAGCTGGGAATAAATGTATATTCAGCAGCAGACACAAAGCTGTAGCTCCTATTTTTTCCATCCCTACTGATCCAAATGACCGTGGCTACAGAAACAGGCCCAGTTTGTTACAGAAAGTGACAGGGCAGTCAGTCACCTGAGCATAGAATCTGAACATGCCATCATCTTACCTTTGTACTAAATACAGGAGCCAGAATATTTAAGTATTAAAACCAACATCTTCCCCACTGGTCCATTATCTACCAGCTCTCAGAAGGTGAGTAAGGTTCTCAGGGTTCGACAGATTATCATTGCACATTTTTCCCTGCTTGCATTTCTGTATTTCCACTGAGAAACTGACAAGTTGCTCCTTTTCCTGCTCCCCAGCTGAGCTGGGAATTAGCACACTTTTGCTTATTTGTTATGTAGTATAGAGTAGTCCAAAATTGGCTTGTAGGAGTTAGATCATACCATTATAAAACCCCACCAACCAAACAAGCAGCAGAAAGTACTTATGAACCAGACACCTTATACACACACACACACACACACACACACACACACACACACACAAAAGTAGGCAGTCAAACCAAGTAAAATTATCAGCCTAAACATGTACTGTTCTCCTGAGCCATTAGCTGAACGCAATGCAAAGCTACTGTGCAAGTCAGATCTTAGCATATTGACTCCATATTCTTCGTGGTCACGTGAACGGTACAAGGACATTCATCATTAACTTTTACTGGGATTTTCCACACAAAAACAAGCATCAAATAGAAAAAAAAAAGACAAAAATAAGATTTTTTTTCTAAAAAGGGAAGCCTACAAGGTGTCCCTGTGGACCTTCACACGGGGGGAGAAATAAAACCTCTCATTTAGGGAAAGGAATTGGGGTGGGTGGGGTGGTTACTGACTGGCACAGAAAAGGCTCCATGGCCAAGTGTCTGTACTAACAGAAAGCCAGCCATGGCTTGATCTTTCCTGCATAAACAACACGAGCATGAATGCACATGTTTCTGTACAGGGGGGCAGAATTAAAGCTTTCTTGTCAGAATTTTCCAATCTTGACTTACTGGTGTTTATCTGAACTCTAAAATTATCAAGTAGAAAAAAACCACCGGTATTCCTCACCAGGGAAGAAATAAAGCAGCAGCTGTTGTTCCACATCCTGCATGTTCGCAGTTGAGTTTGGGGTCAGTTTTAGCACCAGGAGTCATCTTAAAACTCAGCTTGGACAAAAGCAAGCAGAAAGTTTTCTCTCAGATATAATACAACCAGGTTTTATTTAAGTTCTCTCTTCCCCCCCACCCCCCCCCCCCACTGGCAAAAGTTCAGAGGGAGTTTAAAGTTTTGTAAACATTTTAACTACCCCTCTTCCCCCTTTTATGAATTTACAAAGCAAAGGAGACAGGGAGACCAGATCTGCAACAGTTCCAAGTCTCTCCATGCTATTGGATCCAAAAACTATATACAAGTCTGCAGCAGTCTCTGTATAGTTACTGTACATGTTTAGGGGCAGGGGGAAGAGAGAGGAAAAAGAGGAAGAGGAGGAGGAGGGGAAGGTGACCCCAAAAAATGAATAAACCAAATGAAATAAAATCCAAAGCCAAACTCCTCTTGAGCAACTCGAACTGTTTTCTTTAGGCAGTGATGACAGAACAACAGACACCTTTATACAACTCCACCAGAACCGTAGCGTCTCTTCCTTCACAGGTTATAACCCTCTGGGCATGGGAGACGGGACCAGGGGCTTGAAACTAAGTGCGTTTGGCAGTTTTCATTTCCTTTCTTTCATGGTGTATGCATGTGAGCGGGTGAAGAAGGGAAGGTGGTGTTAATCTTTCCGTGAGAGACGAAGGTTACAATTCCATAAATACTTAAAGATTATGGATCCCAGTGAAGGTGCATGAAATAGTTTAAGGTGTAGGAGATAAGCAGGGCCGTCATTGCACATAGCTTCGCCCTCCACAGTCTCTCTTCATGACAAAAGGGCATCTCTGCTCGTTAACCTAAGCACTGCTTGAAATGACAAAGCTAAGACTGCTGGGGTATACATCCGAAAGCCAGTGTTCACCCTCAAAGACTAAAGATTCACACAGTAAAGATCCTACTGTCTCTTAAACGAGACAAATTTGCAGGAAAAGAGCTCAAAATAAACTGGTCCTAACCCTCTGAAGGTAGCATTTAAGGGATAAATTCAACCTGAAAGAAGAGATGCCACCTCTTTTTCCCGAGAGCAAAAGTCCCCACTTGTCCAGGAAGGCTGGAGCAGGCCGACAGGGAACTCCACAAGCTTCAGCATCACCACCTAATGAAGACAGACTCGAGCTTTCCCTCCAAAAATAATGTGCTGAGAAGGGCTGGCAGGGTGTGTGCAACTTCAAACCAACCCAAGCTAAACTGCGCCCGCCACCGCCCCTCTCCTGTTGTTGCCAGTTCTAAGGTTAGCTTATGAATGCAACTCCTGGCTTGGGAGAGCACCTCTTGCCCTGATGGAGCGTGGAAGTCAGTATCTGTGTGGCATTTTGGTTTTGACCAACATCTGTTAACCACAAACACTCCCTCTTTCTCTCTCCATGACTGCACGTGTTGGATGTGGTAAGAGTAACCAGGAGAGGGAAGCAATGGTTTGCAGAATCCCAATTGATTTCTTTTTTCCAGGTATGTCAGCAGAGGAGATCACAGCACAGTGAAAGCTTGCTGCCCAAATCAGCCTTGTTGTGAATGAATCCTATCTCCCACCCTCCCAGGACTCCAAAGTCCACTTGACTCTAGGCTGACAGTAGGAAAAATGCCTGTGCAGTCCTGGGCAGAAAGGGTTTGCTGGGGCTAAAGGAAGCAGCCTGAGATGATCGATTCTGTGATTCACTGCAAGGCGAAGAAGAACGCATGGTGGAGAGTACTGTGTCCAAAACGGAGAACCCATGGTTAACAGATGCAGGAAAAGCCAGTTGATTTGCACATGCTCAGTAGTCTTCCAAAGTCTCTATTTCTCCCATATTGAGCCGCTCTGATGAGGCATTCACTGAAAAGCCTGTAAGCCAAAAAAGGACTTGTGTTAAAAATCTGGATGGGGTATAGTGTATTTGATGCAACACATTTGTTACATGCAGTGGCACATGCAAGATAAAGTGAGTGATACCTATCAAATATAAACTCAGGTGGAAAGTCAGTGAGACTAAAGAGAAAATTAAACAAGCGCTTTTTTCCTTAGTAAAAGGAACTTTATATTTAGCTAAGTATCACTTGGTCTTTGGAAACAGATCAGCAGAAGACTGGTTTCAACTTTCACTTAAAAGGTGCCATCTTTTACAAGGCACATCTAGGCACAGTGGTGTCATGGCCGAGCTACATCTTGGAATGGAGCACCTCTGAGTCAACTGGTACTTCAGATCGCCTGTCAACACTGTACTTACATGGTCCAAAAGGCAGAAATAAACATTTTGTGAACATAAAATACAAATCAACACTTCAGAGAGCATGAGCAATTCTATCCCTTAAAGTTTAAATACATGTACGTACCTATGAAATCTAGTGACAATTCCATGTATTGCTATGCTTTTTCACAATCATCTGTTTCAGGAGTACAACATGAACGTGTACAAAGTTATACAGGCCTATGCAGATGGCTCAAAATGCACCTAAACTTGTACCCAATCCTTTAACTGTAAGGGCTGAGGGCATAAAATACATGAGGAAAGGGAGAAAAAAAAGCAAAAACATTTCCTACAAGGAAAAAATACAATATATCATATGCAACTTCCCTCATAAAATCCAATTTTTATGGTTGTACCAATCCCAAACAGAGTATAGGGAAAAAGGAAAGTTTTTCTGTGTAAGGCTACTTAACACAAATCTGACATTTCACTGCTCTGTAGGCTCACTCTGGGCTAGAAAACAGACTTCTTTTCACAGTCATTATCTTCAACGAAGTGCTCTGTTCAGCAGGTTTTAGAGAACTGTTCTGGCTCCCTCTCGTGGCACAATGTTACCTAAAAGGTTTTGGAATTCTTTTTCATGGAGCATACTGATTTTTGAGAAGCTGCAAGTGGTACTTCTCTTACAGTTGCAACTTCCTAGTCGTACTTAGTGATTTCTTCTTCATATTACATGGGCAGGGTTTTAAACTCCTCAACTGAAGACCCAGATCAGACTCACTATACTGGCATATGGGCTGGCATAAGTCAGGATTCCACTGAAAAGTTCAATATACTTCAACACAGAAAATACTGATTTAAAGAATATTGATTTTGTTGAGAACAAAAAGCAAAGACAAAAACCAGAGAGGGCTCCGTTAAAGCCTTAAAAAACAGCAGTGATTTCCACGTGGTTAATACCAGTCTGCTTTACACAAGCACAAGCTAAGTAGCACAACAAATACTGGCCCAGGGCAGTGCCCTCATTTCCCTTCTATCACACACAGCACAAATGCAGACTCATTTATGCTACTAAAACACTACAGCAATGCATTATACCCCACAATGCTCACTACTACATGATCCCCTTGAATCTTAAAGGCCACTTCAAAGGAACCTTTCCATCAATGCTACAGGGGCTGGGTAACTACCATCTTCACATAAAAATTAAGATACAAAACATAAATATTAAAAACCCTGAGTACTAATGATGCAGTCATCTCCACTGCCTCCATATGAAAACTTGTGACAGTTATTCAGCTTTTTTTCTAAAGATCTTTGTCACCTTTTCTGACTAGGGTGGTTAGCTCATGTAGAAAGGTAGGAAGGAATGAAGGCAAGCCTCAAAAAGCTGTTCCTCATGAGGAAAGAGAAAACAGGTTTTCTTAAGAGAATTATCATTAATTCAACAAAATAGGCTAAGGTCCACTCAAAAGAAAAAAGGCAGTTTAAATGACATCCTTTAACTACTTTAATGTTTGCAGGTAATAACCAACATACTGAAGAGGTCTTCTTAGGAGGAAAAGTGACAGATGTTTGATGAAACCAAAACAGTATTTTTTAAATCTTTAAATAGTAATACTGAAACAAATTCTAAAGATGCTTCAACAAGTACCTGTTCTGCTCAGGTCTGATATTCCCATTTAGGGCTTACAAGCATTCCACACTCCACAACACTTCTCCCAATCAAACAGTAATTTCTAAAAGTTAAAACTGACCTAGCAAGCTGGGATCTGCACGAACCATTTTCTGTTTCTTCTTTTTCTTGCCACTCTGCACAGCCTCAAAATTGGATTGCTGGTTGTTGCTCTGATTGGTCTGAAAGACCGAATGTAGCGAACTGTGGTTCATTCCCCACACTGAATCCTAGAAAACAAAGCGAGTTCAAGTTTATAAAGTGCAATTAAGTTTGGTTTTATTTATATTGAAAACATTCAGAGAGCCCAAAGCACTTTCTACATCATGTGGCAGCACTAGCCACTGATGCATCCATCCAGTACATGTACCTCACCTTTCTAAAGCATACCCTAGATCAGCATGCTAAAACACTATTTGATCTACAATTGGCCTCAACTGTTAAGTTCTAGAGAAAACTTGATTCTGCAGTAAGTATTTGAAACCTGCTTTTTCCTCTGCATTTCACATGAGCTGTAAAATCCTGCTCATCCTTGTATCAACCCACCCTCCTATGAACTCAAACATAACCTCTACACACTCCTGAGGACTGCAGAGTTAAGATTTACCTGTTGCTGCTGCTGTTGCCGCTGCTGACTGGCTTTCTGTTTGGCACGGCGCTCAAGAAACTGCTTGGCAAACTCCTTGGCCTCAGGAGTATCTCCAAGATAGGCTCTGATGTAATCATGGACCTCATATGGAGACTCCACTTCCTTCAGGAAGGAAACAAACGTGGGAACTGCAAAAAGAAAGCAGACCATGAGGGAATGCGTGTTGGTATGTGAACACATGCATGCAATAAAAAGCTTTGGATTTGTTTCAAATATTTGCTAATCTCATACCCACAAAAACCCCTTGCCCTTCCACTTTCCCTACAGTAAAACCCTATGATACAATGCTGCACCTATGTGCAGTCAAAGCAAGGGTAAGAAAGCCAGCTGATGCAATGAGAATGAAAAATAAACTGACAATCCTAAGGGTATGTTACCCCACCAGATTATAAAGCTCAAATTTAATGCAAGAGCTGTCATCAGTATAATCTCTTTTTGTCTGTAGCACAATAGATAACACTCCACAGTCACGGACCTGA